CGGATAATAGCGCGATAAATGAAAGAAATAACGGCGCAAAAAAAAAAAAAAAAGACTCGTCGCGGATCCGCGTGTACGCGCGCGCGTATATTCGCGCGATCATAATTATCATTAATTTAATACAATGAACGAGCGCGGACTGTGAATTTCGGGACTGCGGCTGTCAGAACCGTCGGGTCGACAATATAGTTGTTTTGAAGTGCTTTACAAGTATAATTAGGGGATAGTGGGTACGGGGGATAACGAGAAGCAAGCATTCACCGCACACATGTATCATCAAGCGTCGTTAGCCATGCACGACCCGCGTTTCCATTCTGCCTGAAACTCTCACTCAAATCAGAGTATATTATGTTGCGTTTGCCCGAAGTACATGTAGTGCAAGTGTGTTATCTAACGCACATCGCTATGTCCATCTCGCATGCTTGTCTCTATCGACGTAACCGTATTGCTTTTCGCACGTGAAGTGGTGGAAAAGAGAAAGGAAAATTCGAAAACGGCCGACGGCGATGGGATTTCACGAGGGACGACGCGTTATCGGTGCGCATTGTGTTCAGTAATATGTAGTGCGATTACAACGGGATAGCGATGTTATATCACGATTTCTGAGCATGATGATAATTCTATGTGTACAGCAGAGAGAAATAGAGAGAGAGGGAGAGGGAGAGGGAGAAGATATATGCGTGTGGTGTGTGTAAACTGACCATCCGACGACCGCAACGGCTATCTCTCGCGATGCACTCGCCTTCCATCCGATGATACGATTATTCATCTTCCATCATCCGCGCTCACGACTGATCCCGAATCGCCGATGTGCATCCCAGCGCTGCGTCCCTTTTCCCCACGTAGAGCATAGAGAATCGTGACTTTATCAGTGTCACGCGGGCGACGACCGAAAGCGTAATTGCCGTGAAACCGCGGCTTAATTGCGAGGGCAAACAGCTAAATTAAAGCAGCGCTTTACCGGGCTAAGCAAGCACCGCCGACTGATTGTGTTTTTGGTTGTAACCGGTCGCCACCGGTTGTTAAATGCCCCGGCGTTTCGGTATTCGCGTACACGTATACACGTGGTGCTTCGTACGTGAAAGACAGGAAATGCGGGAATACCTACGCACGCGTGTGCGAGCGTGTTTCGTGTGTGAGCTCTAATAACAGACCGCGCAATCGACCGAACGAGTGCAAGAAACAAGATAAAGCACGGATTTACATGGTACTGGCTCGAATCCGTCGAGTGACAAGCGTAAGCTCGCTAATAAATGAACGGAGTGGGTCGTTGATGAAATTGCCGCTGTTGTTTCTCGCGCGTTCTGCCCGCGATGCGTTTGCCATCGACGGTAGGTAGGTAAAAGGGAAAGAGACGCGAGAAAACCCGTGATAAACAATTACATTCGGATTTATTTTTATCAAAGCAATTATTATACACCAAGCCTTTCGTTTTGAGAGCTGAAAGTTGCGCGATGAAATATTGTACAACGCACGTACGAAAGATGAAATTTACATTGTGAAAAGATGAAAAAGGATGGATAGAGTAGTAAAAAAGTGTCCAGGTGCATGCGATATTTAGGCGACATTTGCACTTTAATATTTTCACTTCTCTTGTACGTGGGTAATGGGAGGAGGCCAAGTCGATGATTAAATCTAAGTCTACTATATCAGTGTGAGAAATGATGATAACGTGGTAAGAAATCGTGCCAAAAGGCAACGATTGGGGTCATCTCACCCCAGAGAGGCAGAGTAGAGGCGGCATGGATTGATGAGCACCTGCACCAGATTAGCGATGCCACTAATCGCGTCGAAACGCAGGGCGATTAGTGCCAGGTTAGCATGCACGCGATCGCACATGCGTTTTCCAAGGTGTTTCCGCAAGTTGTTCTTGCAAGTCGCGTAGATTTATAACCCCGAAACCAGATATTAGATCAGAAATATGCCTGCCATCCACCTATCGACCGATTAGGAAAGCACCGATGGGTAATATCATGTGAATACGTCCGTTAGACCGTTAGTCACAATCGTTTTCAAATCAGCTTAGTATTGTTTAAGATTGCTGAAAATTGGCGGGATTCGCGAGTGTGTACCTGATTGCCGCCTTGACGGTGACAGGGATACATGCCCACTGGTTGATGTAGGTCTTCGATTTTCCCCGATGAATCTATACACATTCCGCTAGTAACTTGTCGTATCTGCGTTAGAATTCAAGAGAAAGATTCACACGGTTACTCTGGGAACGTGAAAGATTCGCTCATCCACCAGCATGTTTCGTGCGCGACAGCGCACGATTTTGTCTATTTCCGCGCCGCAAGTTCGAGAATATCCAAGCAGCCGGAAGCGCGAACACACACATGGCATTAAATGAACAAGCACGGGTGCGATTAGGCACTCGGCCATCGTCGGGGGAATGATAATGGATCGATATGTATCGCCAATGAAACGGAAACTCGATTTTCTAGTAATTTGGTATGTAGCTTCAATTAGCTTCGCAGTGGAATTACGAGACGCACATTTCGAAACGATATCAATCCGTGTACATTGTTTATTCACGCAGGATTATACGATAATAATTAAACTAAATACCGGCGGTTCGCATTGACTAACAGGCGCTATCGTTGTTTCCGCGGCTGAAAGGCAAAACAATCAGTTCATACAAGACAATTCGAAAATTTTGCAGAAACTAAATAGTTATTATTTTGTAATAAAAGAGATAAAAGCGAATAAAATGAGATAAAACAGAATGAATTAAATACTATACTACAGAAGAGGCATTTTTTTATTAAATAGTGCAAAAAGAATATATATATGTGATAATATATATTAAAAATAAAAAATTATAAGGAAGCCAACGATTCGTTTAGTTAATATATAAATATATATATAAACATATATTTTTAAAATAAAATAATTATCTGACCTTGTATACAAAAAATAATCGAGGCACTTTTAAAAACTATTAATACACTTTCTATATTAATAATTTTGCCTTCAAAGCATTTTAGATAAACTTTCATGAAAATGCTGCTCATAGCAAAGTATTCTAAATATGTATTACTGATACGTTATTCTACAATGAGTCATAGAACTAGCCAAGTTTTTTTTCTAATGTTGCTTTATAACTTATATCATACAATTTAGAAATGTAGATTTTTGCTGCCCAATCAAAATGACGAATTTCTCAGGGTGATATTCATTTTACTTCCTTTTATTCTATTCATTCGTTTCAACAAAATAACAACTATTTAATTTTAGCAACTTTTCCATTGTTATTTTGTATATATATGTCGAGTAGCAGAACAATTGATTGCTATCAATATAGTTCATCACACCGGTACGTATTAAATTCTTTGATTTATAAATTGATTCATACTATAATTCAATTTATAAATCAAATGACCGAAATTTGATTACTCACAGAATCTTTAATTTCTTTTACGTACGTATTATTTTGATTACAATCTTGACACTGTGACGTGATAAAACTAAATACGTTATTCTACAGTGGATATACTATCGTAACAAACAATTGTAAACGTTCGAGCGTCTCGAAATATAGTCACAAGCTCGTACCTATGTATAATACCTGCAAACGCCAGTGACAGCCAGTGGAGAACTTTATAGCGGAGTGTAAAAATCAAATGAAATTCAACAAAAATCGTGTTTCCATTTTGAACTTTGTGGACAACAGTTGCACACATCAAGCATGGGCAAGCATTTCATGGGACAATGTGTTTTGTGTGGGTGAAGGAAATTTTTCAGGAGGGTGTCGTATTGTACCTGATTTCCACCCTGTCGATGACAGGGATACAGTCCGCACGGTTTGTGCAAATCGGCCTTGCGAGCGGGCGAGTCCAGACAGGTGTTACCGCCTTCGCCGAGGTTTCGGACCTGTTTGTTGTTAGTAATTTTTTCGGACATTAGCGTACATCCGTCGCACCGTTAGTAATACCCGAGAGAATATATGTACATATTAATAAACAGATTACCGAGAGAAAAAGTAACGTCAACGATGCTGCCATTTGGACATTTCTGTTTAACATTTTTGTTATTACACCACGCCTTGACGTTTCATCGTGAAACTTTCGAATTAAAATGGAAAATTATTCTCGAACGAATTAAACGCGAATGAGTATTCAGTTCGAAATGTCGATGCAAAAATCGTTTGACGCTCTCTGCCTTATTTAAAATCAGATTATGAAAATACACACGGCGCTCTTTTATACCTGTAAAAATAATGTAATAATTAGATTGATGAAGTAATGTTTTTCTATTTCTGGTAACGAGATTCGTTGATCTCGATCTCTCGCGAGAATCCTAAAAACAGAGTATGAAAAGGCAGAAAAGTCACGCTCCTCGTTGCGCAATGGTTCTTCTTTTTTTCATGCACAGATTCTGCGGTATGCATGCCTGGCAAAGCGGGGACCGCGGATTGCGTTCTCCATTTTTCAAATAGACGGAAACAAATTGAAAATGAGGTCTGCTCGTATTTCGCTCGGTCCGACGCGTGTGTTCACGACCGAGCCATACGATGTATATACGTGTGTGTATGTGGAAATGTGTGCGTGCGTGTGTGTGTGTGTGTGTGTGTGTGTGTGTGTGTGTGTGTGTGTGTGTGTGTGTGCACATGTGCCTGCGTGTAACAGCAGGTGCATTCAGTTACGGCGCTCAGTCAGCAGTCCTGATTTCACTGCATGCAAGAATTCTGTGGTCGTTGCAGTTTCAACGTGAACATCTTTATTCCCTTCCCCTCCTCTATCCCGCCCCATCCCTGTGTCTATATCCCTCGCCTTCACCCTCGTAGGAGCCGTCCTCGTCGGCGTCCTCGTCGTCGGTCGGCTGGAATAAAAACTCGGTGATTTATAACCAGGTATCCTGGAGGTCGATAAAATTTTCAAAGCTCCTGCTCCGCTGGCATTATTAAAGGGTAGCTCGAAGGCTCTTAGTGAACTCAATGAGAAATGTGATCTGGTATTTAGACAACTTTACGATCCTAACTCTGCAGAGAGTTGGAGAGCTCGAAATAATATAATACCGCGGGAAGTCACGTATTTCGGACATTTTTCGAATTTCATACCTCATTATTTTATAATCCAAAGAAGAACGTGTCTCCTTCATTTTTCCCCGGTAAATCTCTGCATTCATTCGTACGTATGAGAAAAAAATTTACTAACGTTAACCAGTGATTTTTCAAGAATATTTCTGGAAAGATTATACAGGGTGAATGAGGGTTGTCGAACCAACTTTTTACCCTGTGAGAAAATTCTCGACTTCATAATTACTAATTGAATTATAACGTGTGCAGTCAATTATTTTCTCATACGGTTCAAAAGCTGGTTCAAGTCGACTCTGACTCACCCTGTATATGCAACAAGCGCTGCATTCAAAGATATTATAAATGTTTTATTAAAAAAATCATATCGTAGGATGTGGGATCGATGCAAGATTGTAAGGGTTAAACAAAATCGCGTTCTGCATTGCGTTTTTATCATTCCATGCGGTTTTGCATAGGGAATCCATGCAGTTCGCGTAGAACGACTCAAAAATCGTGGTATACCCCCCGGAGAAATATACGCTCTCCCCTGCACGTACGTAGAAACACGTGCACATTCGAAATTATTCACGTCGTGTACGATTTCTGGACCGTCGTAGAGCCGTGCGAACTATAAATCCAGTCATCCCTCTTCCTCCCATACGATAGGAAAGTCGAGCGTGATTTAGCCGGTTCAGCGAAAGCAAATAAAAAGTAAAGAGGGGAGGGAGAGAGAGAGAGAGAGAGAGAGAGAAGAAGGGCGAGAAACTCGGACGGAAGACAGTGGGAATATAAGTTTCGCCTCGAACGGAATTGTTATTTTGTGTACAATGCGACAATAAAGTCCAAAATCCTCGTCGTACATAAATTCTGTTATTGTGATATCGCCGATTGCATTTCGAAATGCAATCGAAAACGGCAATGCGATAAAGATTTCGAATTTCGAAATTGTTGTTTTACAGAATATGGAATTTTTTAAATAAATCGAATTTATTTAGCTAGAAGCATATTGCACATTATGCAGAAATACTGGTTCTACGTAGACGAGTATCGAGATTATTTGTCAGCGTTATGTATAAATTATGATAAAATGTTTTGCAGGCATTTTAGTATTAAAAGAAATTATTATAAAACTTTCAATTTAAAGATTCATGTTAGACTGATTAATTAAATAAATTACGCAAAATTTGCGTAAATTTAAAAACAGAGATTGTATGTGTGTTGCAAGAAAATAAGCTTACGCGTGAATACGAATATTTCCTAATTTTTGGAACAAACGCGTCTCGATATTCTCGACAACACATAGCAACAACTTAGAAGAACAAATGATTGCGTGCGGATAATCTAGGATCGGCACAAACGAGTTCTACCGGTATGCCGTGCAACTTAAACGACGAAATTGTTATTTCGTGTGTGGCATGGATCGCATTCCAAAGTGCGCGACCACGTAAATGCTACTTCGCGAAAATGCGCGCCCGTCCTTTATATATTCCTCCTTTTTCCGCGATGCGCTTCCTTTTAGCTTGCCTGTTCCGCCCACTTCGTGAATGCCGGTGTCAGTGCGCTTGGACAGAGAAAGAAAGGAAAGGCGAAAAAAAAAAAAGGGAAGAAAAGGAAAAGAGTGAAATGCATTCCTCGCCTTATCCAAGGGAAAACGTGAGTGGATCGCAACAAACGACAAGGCAGACAGAGGGAAGACAAGGGAAGTAAAAAGCGGCGGGGAACAAGGGGATCGGTCGATAGTATTCGAACTCTCGAACTATTTCGAATTCCGTCGCTTTTTATTATCATGTTCGATCGGAATATTGCCTTCGCACGGCGGAACGCGTGTACATACCGTGCGTCATGTCGGCAGTGCCGTGAAATTGTGATTCGCGAGAACCAGCGGTGCCATGACCAGCGGCTTTTGTCTCGCAAACAACGCGACGGAGTGCCACAATTTGTGCGCATGAATACGTGCGTACGAAACACTATGCGAGAGCATATATCTCAATGCTATTTCATCCTCGACAAACATACTATACATGTAAAATGAAATGCAATGAAATACAGAAACGTATATACGTAACTGTCGATATCTTAATTCCTCGATAGTGCGGTGAAAATATTGTATGATGAACGAGAGAGAAATAAATCACCTATCCAAAGTCTACCCCTAATTTTACGTGTTACGTGTCTGTATAATTTGCGATAACAAAATCAAGAGTTTCATGTCGAATCGCGCTTCATGTTTGCAAATATCGCAGAGAATTTGAGGAATTGAAAAATTTTAATTTATCTAAACACGTAAATTTGTCATTGTCTTTTTCTGTGCGAAAATAGATATGTTAAGTGTAAATATTATATAAAGATTAACGTATCGAAAAAAATCAGCTGTAAGTGTCGCTATTTTCTAAACGTAGATATATATTCTTGGAAGAAACGGAGAGAATCGGTATGTATGTGCTCCCGATATTTAAAATATTTTTAACTTCTATTTTTACTTTTAAATTAAAAATTAAGAAATGTTTTACTTTTATCGAGTGCACACATGCTAGTTCTTCATTTCTTCCAGAACAGAAGAATATTTATTTAAAAGTAGCGACATTTATAACTGACTTTATCGACACACGCAAACACACATATTTCTAAAAAGTGGAAATATATTTATATAAATATATTCTAAAAATTCCGTCCATTTTGGTTTTCATAGCATAAAGTGTATGGATATGTATACATTTTTTTCGACATATATATACATTTCCATTTTTGGTACGATATGAACGAATTTCTGCCTTTCGAATCGTAGTTGTCGTAAATAATTATTTCGTAAATTATCTTCGTCCATCAAGTCTATGAAACGAAATATTTATCACTGGACGGCACGTCCCTAATAGCTTTCGGTATTATTAAAAGCTAAAATATTTCCCTGATAAGGGAAGCAACGAGACGCGCGCTCGAAACTTACTCAGAATTTCCGGTACAGCGAACTTTAGTATGCCCGGTTATCTTATACGGCGTGCGCGGAGATAGGCGCCGAGGACGAAGATGATCCCGATACGAGAAATTCAAGTGAAGTGTGAAGATAACGAGACGTGCCGAGACCGGGCGTGAAAAAGAGACGGCCGAGGTGAGAAAGAGCGCGCGCGGAGGGTAGACAGAGATAAATGAGAGTAAGGGGGATGGGCACGAGCACGAAATATTTGAGTCGCGTGACACTGCGACGCCTGTAATGCAAGCCGAGGTTTAACCCCCCCCCCCCCGCCAGGGAACCCCACGATTCTCTGCATAGGGTTGAAAATAGGCGGGGATGGATGATAGAATGCATTATTCAATAACACGATTAATCGACAACACAACTGAATGTCGTGTTGCGGAACGCAACGAAATATCTACACGCAAAACGTTCAACGTTATATGTTACCGTTACACAGTAACGATAGATGAGAGGGATGATCAGAATTGTGTGATGAATCAATTTAACAAAATTAGACTTTATAACAATATAGATAATACAATGGGTAAGTATCATTTGATCGTAACCGACGTTTATCAATCCTAGATAAATAAATGTGAATTATGATGACAATATATTTCGTGTTTTTGCTAAATTCTCCAAGTGACGCGTTCTATTTCCTAGATTCGGATTTTCTCCGAGAACAAAAAACTCCGAGAAGGGAAAAAAGGCTTTACGCTACAAGCGTTTTACTTTCTTCGCGACTGCGTTGAACATTGGTGTTAAACACCGGCGCACCGGTTGCTGGGTTAATGCACTGTTGGCTTATGATAAAATTCAAGGAACAAAAGGAAATTGGAAGGAAAGCGAGAGAGGAAGAATGATGAAGTATGAAATATTCGTGTCGCGTGACGCTGCAATTTATCCGTCGGTGCAACGTCGTTAATACCGGTGCCTACGTACCGTGACTTTGTCACGGAGCGGCACGCTGCATGTGAAGAGAGTAACGTGTAACGATCCGCGTGGAAATGCAAGGTACCCCATCCCAAGGCTGGGAAGGCGGATTTATCCCTCGATAACGGTTGCAATCATTTTGCAATTACGAATGCAGCGGAACGGAGTGACGCGGGTAGCTAACGCGGTGAAAATAAATTGTGAAATAACTAACAGTCAGTGTGTGCCCCGAATCGCGCGTACATATCGAAACGAATTGATTAATAAAACACGTCAACAATATTTGCGGCGACGAGACGCCGATAAAAGATTGATTAAACGCGCAGAAGCGGTTACTGGAACTGGAAACAGCCGTGAATAAATCAAACCGTGGATAAATGGTGCGATATCGCGAATAAATTTCTACATTTGTGACGAGAGCAGACCGATTTCGACGTACAAATTTAGAAGTTTCTCGCTGGCATTGAAACTTAATAAAACGAGCTAGAGTTTACGTTCCCATTCTATTCTTCTCGTTCTCTTACATGTATATCTTATGACGATTCGCATCTTTGACGATTTGGATTACCCGTGAATAATCTCTGTGAATAATCCAACGGTGACAATATCGTCACGTTGGCAACCGCAACGAGATCCGACAATCATTCGGTAATTACCGATATATACCAAGACGGAATACAGCAAAAGGATGAAGAGGAGAACGAAGAAGAGGAGGAAGAAAAGGGAGGAACAACACAACGGAAATAAATCTCCGTGTGATTGATCGTTTGCCATGAATCGCGCGTCCAAGCGATATTAATGCACTATCAGTCGTGACGGGTTCGCACGGATGGCTCGCGTGTAGCTTTGACGAGTCTGTCGCTCGTCGCCTCTGCCCGATATTTATGCGCACGTGTTTTTTATTTTGCAGCAAAACGAGGGTTACGAGAAAAAAAAAGACAGCCCCGCTTGAAATTTCGCGCGCGTCGGGATACAACTAGCGATTTTGCTACTGCATTCTCGTTTCTCCTTCTTCTCTCGCTCCTCTTTCCTAGTATGTCAATGAGTCCTGGAATATGGAGCACGACAACCGGCACCATCGTGAAATCAATCATAGTGTAATGGTGTAGCATAGAAAAGATTCGGTTCCTAATTGATTAATAAAGTTTTGCGATTAGATATCTTGCCTATTATTATTGCCTTCATTCAGAAGCATTACAAAAAATTTAGACCGATCAGAATCACAGTATTATATATTTCTTTCTGTTTGGAAAATAAAATAATTTATTCACATTTCGCGATATGGAGATATAATTACTTTTATCAATGAAAATTTATAAAATGTCTAATTAAACTTAAATGTTTGATCATTTTCCGCTTATTTTACTTTTAATGTGATCATTATTATTCAACTGACTGTCGGAATGACATGACACAAATTTTTCTCCCAGTTCTTGTTTTAACTTTTGATTAAATTTTTAACATATTAACCATGCACAAAATTTGGCACACGATATATTGTTCAATGTAGAGGCGTCGACTTTGTGAGCTTAAGTTTTCAGCTTATTAATTTTGTGAGTATTGTGACTTACCTCACAATAGTTGACGTGTCAATTTTTTGAGAGAAAAAACTTGGAAGATATTATTTTGCGATGTAATATTCGAACTGCTACGTTAGGGGGAAATATTGTTGAAGAAAATTCAAACCACGAGTTGAAATGTCTAAGGTTTATAGATATTTAATATTAAGAAGACTTGCGCTAATTAATAACCATTAAATAATCGTTAAATAACCGTTAAATTCTGTAGTCTGTACTAAAAACTGTTATTAATTTTATATTATATTTTTCTAATTTGTTTCAATTAAAGGAGTAAAAAACTTATTAGTTTTTGTTAGTTTTTGAATTTCTCATTAATATTTGACTTTGAATCTTGTTTTATCTAAAAAAAAAACATTTAATGTTTAACATCAACATGAAAAGATCAGGTGCGATGGACATGTTCGAAGAAAAATTTCCGGATTGCTTTTACAGAGGAACGAAAGACAACTTCTTCTGTAAAGGCGTTTGCTTTGTAATCAAGTTGCATTGGCAAAACCAGCTATACTACGTAACCTAAGAATCTATAATATCGATCTGTGGGAATCGATTTCCGATTAGATATCGGACAAGCCTCCATCCGCAATCCGATCGCAATTGCTCCGACCACGATTCACATTGTTTCGCAATCAAAGCGGCATGTTTCCAGTGTCATGAGCTCGTCGACATCGATCAACGCCTCTTGCTGCTAATATTCAAACTCGAGGAAATGTATTAATTAATCGAAGAACAAGATTTTACCGCTTTACAATATTTAAACTGAATTTGTCGAAATTGCTTTATATTTCAACATTTTTTTTTTAAATAAAAAGCTAATTAAAAAGGTGTAATGAGGTAAAAAATTTCATTTTTTCTCATGTATCAAAAGTGTTACTATAACAACGAATATCACGGTGAAAAAGATATTCGTAGCTTATATAAAAAACAATAGAAAAAAGAAGAATAATTCGACTCTTTTTTGATGACTCCATCTATCTAACTGACTACATTTCCTTTCACAAAGAGCCTTCGAATGTTGTAACCCGACACCTTGATGGATCAAAGCCACGGCAACGTCGTTAAAGATGGAACCGGTCGTTCCCTCATCGTTTCCGCTTTCTCTTCCTTCATTCCGATTGGTGGTATTTCTCGAGCCGCGTAACGTCAGCAGCCGCTGAAAAAAAGCGTTCAAGAGGAGAATGTGGAATAGTCTTACCTCTCCAGAGGCGACTGCCTCGCCCGGAATGAAGAGTTCCGGGTAAACGTTGTCCAGGTACCACTTGAACGACTTGCACCCCAGTTTCTTCCTAAGAGTTTTTCGCTCCGATATGTCGCCGTAGTTCCCCTACAAAAGTTCAGCGTGTAGTAGAATTATGCTCGCAATAAAAGATAAAAAATATGAAAATTGTGTAGATATTAAAATAAACATAAAGAGAGAGAGAGAGAGAGAGAGAGAGAGATCACACATTCGCAAATAATAATTAAAAAATTTATAAAACATAAAAAAATAAAAATAATAGTTGAAGAATAATCTATCGATTAAAAATAAATGGTGAATAAAGTAAATTTATAATTCATAGGACTTTTATATATCCCTTGGAATAGGAAATATTTATTAAAAAATTTTTTACTATAATTCAAATTAATTCGCAGAAACAAGGAAATTGGTGAAGGAAGTTTTATTATTTTTTTATTTTACCATAATTATTTTTCAATAATAAAACGCTGTTTAATTTTTTTATTCAACACTGTCCCATCTTGTGTTTCCAACACTGTCTAACCCAACCATTGATATTACTACTGCGAACCTTTACTCACGCCTAAAAATAGAGATAAACAAAGAGCGATTTATCTCATTACATTATGAAGCCATCCATGAGGACGACATTCTCGATAGATTCGATCATTACATAGAGCGACGTGCTTACGGAAGCGATTTATTCTCTACGCTTCGATTTATCTCGCCGATTGGATCTCGGCAGGAGAGCAGGGGCGGACAAGCATCAAGGATAAATGACAGATCGTTATAGAAGGGGACGAAAGAAACGTCCTCCGACGGAGGAGAGCGAGGACATGCGCGCGAGCCTTAAGGGCACTTGGCGCGTTTATGGCCCTTTTTACGACAAGTCTTGGTCTACGATCCTCTCCATCATCGACCACCTTTATCGTTATCCTTCATCCCATTCCAACCAACCCCATTCAGCCAATGTTTACGGGAAACTTGGATTAAAGAAACATACTCGATGGTTTACCGATACACCGTGGCAAGAAATGGGATCTTTAGCTCACGATAAAAGATAATTTATCACTAATTACCTATTTCCTGACAGAGAGTATGTGCTGCAACTCGATATAACTTCGAATATAGATTTTTAAAAAAAATTATCCCTACGTTTTTATATTACACAATGTTTCTCCATCTGTTTATACGAATATTGTTGAACGTTGACCGAAGTACGTTCGTTTTCATTCAATCGTATAAAATCCCTGTCTCATTTTATTTTCCGCCACTTACATCGATCGTACTACGATAACTCGCTACGTGGATTGCTCCCCCGTAGCATTTGCACAAGAGGTTTGTACATGAAAAGAAAGTTATGCATGCGACGATGCAAGTACTCACCTTGTCGTGACCTATCCTCTGATAGTAGTACTTGGCGTACTCGTCCAGCCACACTTCGCTCAGTCTTATGCTGTTCCTCTTGAGCACGTTCACGCCGTTGCGCCACTTGTAAGGCGAACGTTTCCTAAAGATGTGACCCACGTGCGAGCACGGCACGATTTCCAGGGTGCCTGAGAACGCGTCGAGAGTTATTAGATTAATGTTTTCATCCGGTTGAATTATACGCTTGCACGTCGCTGGCTAATTTTAAGAATCGTACGAATGCAAATAGGTAAAACATGAAAATAAAAGAAGGAACGTTTAAATAAAAATATAGATGCGTGCAATTTTTTTCGAAACGAAGAACGACGAAAATATAATGCATAAAAGGAAGACAATTCGCATTTAGCGTCAAGAACAAAATAAAAAAAAAAAGATAAGTCTTCCATATTATACAATAAGATTACTGTACTAAGTGACTTAGAACTTCAGTTTCCTAAATTAGATAAACAAAACACCTTTCTTTGTCGCTCATCGCGCTGTCTTACCTCCGCACATCCAGGTTTTAAATGATAACTCAAGATTCTCGCCGCCCCATATGTCGAAGCCGCTATCGTACGTGCCGATCCGTTCGAAGAAGGCTCGGTCTATTGAAAAGAGGCCGCCAGCCATCGTTGGTGACCAAACGGGTTCGGCCGGGTTTTTGTGCCTCTTTCTCTCCCTCTCTGGTACCGCGTGCCAATTGAACTTGTTAACAAATGTTGATATATGTCAAGAATCCGCCCATAAATGATCACGACTTTTTGATCATAAAATATTACAAGTTGATAGTAACTTTATAAAATGAGACTTGAATGTCATTTAAATAACATCAATTGACATCTTACAATTACATTTTCCAGTTTTATTTATTTACTTTTTTTTATCGC